GGGGGTGCAAAATATTTTGGGAGACCCCCGGAAAATCTGTCTATTGCCATGGCCACCAACATAATACAATGTTGATGCAAGATTGTTTAAAATAACTGACAATATAAATCCTAGCTGCATCAGATAATTTGCAATAAAGTGTAATGTATTGTAAAACACCATTTCTCCTGTTTTACAATTGTGACTTCATACAGCCCCCTGGGAAAGTTTACCCTGGGCCCCGCACAACCTTTTGGCACCCCCTGGCTACACTAGTTTACTTTAATCATGTAAAAATAAAATGGATTATCAATTAATGTCTGGTTTAAATGTGTTAATGATCATGCACTAGCTGATGCAGTAGATGGAATTTTTGACCGAAAATTTATATACAACGCCCTCTAACTGGAATTTGACCATGACTGAGCTTCAGAAACCAGTTGCTGAGAATTAATCACAAGTTCCTGTGTATCTAATATGGTGATGGGCTAATATGTTAGCCATAGCAAGTTAGCAATTTCACCATGTATAACGTTTTAAAATTTTGTCATCTATTTGGAGCAATGATGCTTGCTGCAGATTATTGACTATAAATAAAATTAACTACAGATATAAAAAGAACAAAGAATGAAATTATATTTTTCATACTTTCCTGCAACTTATCGAATATTGATATAGTTCATTAAATACGCCTTCGCCCATTTAGTGCTACTAAATTGTAAATTTCGACATAATCTAAAATGATGGCTTCTGACCATCAGAATTCTGTCAAATCTTCCCCAAAGTCCAGGAAATGGCATTTCAGAGACTCTAAACTTAAAAATTTCCTCGGGCCTTTGGCCCTCGAAGCTCTGCTAGGCATGTCCCAATTGTGCTCAGCAACTGTACATTTATTAGATTGTCGGTAATTGTTTGGTGTTGGGGTCATTATTTTTTAGAATTCATGTGAAGGGGGTCATTGAATTTTTTTTGTGATGCAGGGGGTGGGTCAGGACATTTTGTTTAGTTATTAATTGAATTTTGCCAGCCCAGCCCCGGTCATAAATAATGAATCGTCCCTAATGTTTGTGAATAGCTGGAGGGCTATTGTGTCATACCTTACTATGTGACTACTCACCCTCCAGCTATTCAAACACAGCATTAACATTCATTAGATTCAAGCTTCATTATCATTCTTACTGGTTCATATTAACCAGTGGTATAGTGTCATTTCAGTTGATCAATCGTAGAATTTGAAAATTTATGTATAAATATTATCCAACAAAATGACTTTATAAATACTTGTGTTGTCTGTTGAGTTGCGAAATTTATGAACCAAAGTCATTCCTGCGCATCGTCTACGCAGGGGCAGTTCTACAATAGTCAGATATTTCGCAAGTCAGAAATTTCGCGTCACACCTGGTTTTCATTCCAGATTTTTCAGCGTTTCGAGTTTTAATGTTCCGTCGTTGAACGCTGTTCCATGTCCCGGCTTTTAGCACTAACCCCCAGTTAATAAATGCTGCAAAATCCGATTTTTTGTCGTGCTTGTCAGTTGGAAATTGAGAATTCGAAACCAATATTTTCCATGCACATGCACTGCCATGGGTTGAAAGGTTAATTAACCTTTCAATTATATGGCCTTTCAATTGTATGGCCGCCGATATGTCAAGGTTTCCTTTTGGTCTATTTCCGAGTGTTCAAGATTAATCATGCAGGTAGCCTGCATGGCAGGCGGTACTTAGACACTCTAATTTTCGCTGCTTGTAGAAATACCGCAGGTCAAAGTTGTTATTAGTTAATTTAATATGCATGCATGGAATGAACCGGAAATTCATGCTGAAAATTGGCCTTCCTGTTGCGACAGTGGCACAGTGCGATTCCACGAATCGGGAAATCGAAACCATATCGTAATCCTTGTGTGCTCACATGCACATGTTCATAGATAAATTTGAGAACTTCAGCGTGCCTTAAAAAATAACTGATATGGCGAGCTTTCCTTTTGGCCGGCTAACAGACACTGAAATACGGAAGCCATCCAAAGTACTCTTGATTTTCTTCGTATTGTTTATACTGCTGCTTATACTGTCCGTATCCTTCATTGCGCTGTATGTTGTGGAGAAAACGAAATCTACAGATTCGTTATCTGGGACATGTACTTCTCCTGCTTGTATCACCAGTGCTGCAGGTATGATAGGGGCTGCTTTTATTTAATTAACTTACTTTTCAGGGCTAGAACTTTTGAAATAAGGAATGATTTTGAAGTATTGTGCAATATGATTGAAGTCACTATAGGCCAGTGCTATAGGCTTAGCGTTTTATAGGCCTAGGGATTAATAAAGCGGGCTGAAATTTTTTACATGCATGTATGCCGGTGGAATGAGTACGGTATGTGGATACCCCTAGGATCGAACGTGGGGGATTTTGCGAAATAAATATTTTCAAAAATTTTACAACGCATCAACAAGATGCTTTTAACGGCATTATTTACTAAAGAAGAGATATATTATTTTGTAAATCTGTCTAACAATCGAACAAATATCTGTGTCACTATTACGCTGACGAACGAATGTCTTTTTTTAATAGTCAATCGCAAGTCTAAATTTATCCAGGCCTGCATGCCCTCGAAAATGTCCACAGCACCGTCGAGCAAATGCTCTAAATATGTGCTCGTATATATGTCTCAGCACAGTTATTTTAATAGATGGTTTGGAGACTCGATGAAAGTACAATATAACTCATTAACTATGTTATTGTCCAGCTTTATGCAAGAATTTGATCCTATCTCGTCACGTGTGTGTTGTATTTTCGCTCAAATAACCAATAACAAGTTTGTGGTTGAGTTATCCATCCGTAACTTGAACAAATGCTCAATTTAAACATTGCTATTGGTTGTGAGGGAAAAAATACAATACACACGTGACGAGATAAGCCCGTATTCTTGCATAAACCGAAACCAACATAGTTAATGAGTTATACTGTACTTTTATCGAGTCTCCAAACCATGTATGCCATTAATTGTGGTCTCAGCACTGAATATATCTTATAATTCCGACATTTTGACTGTCGACTTTAATTAACAATCCTAATAAAGTGGCATACGACGGCGAAAATTCAACGAGAAGCATATAGGTGTATTACAATGTCTACTATAGGGGCACCGAATAAGAATTTCACCAGAATTCTGACTTGCTGTCGAAGGCTTCGCTTTGATGCCACAACTAATTGCATATGCGTATATTAAATTGTACATGCTGGCGTGTGCAATGAGGCGAAACTACCAAATTATTGTATATTTTGTGTTCAATATATAGACCACAGTAAGGCTTTTTTTAAATGTGTTTATTACATTAAATTAACTACCTGAAGATGGAGTAAATCTCCGAAACGTCGTTTGTTAATGTAATAAACACATTTAAAAAAAGCCTTACTGTGGTGTATATATTGAACACAAAATATACTATAAAAAATGAGGCTTAGAGAAAGTTCGTTCCTAAACATACCAAATTATTATCAGATAGTATAGTCGCCAATTAAGCTTTTGTTTTATTTGTTGAATTTTGAGGCTAAGAAAAGCTAAGACCCGAAAATAACATATATTGGATCACTCGAGCATAATCAAGATCACTTGCAGTGCGAGCTTTATTTGTTACAAAGAAGTTATTGTCAAACAAACAGAAAGCGAAATTTTTTACTGAGCCCATCCCAATTCTCTGTCGTGCAGTGGCGTACCAAACTCGATTTTAGGACGGCACGCGCCGGAGACGGCCATATTAAATGGTAGTAAAGATAGTTCCTGGTATATTATCAATCGTATGAATTTAATGCAGTTTTAGAAGTTGAAGACATGGGTTTTATGGTTGGGAAGAGTTCTGCTAAACCCAGTTTGAAGTTTTACTCTTGCGGCTTGGAATGCAGCTGTTGTATCAAGACGTGAAAATCTGTGATTTGGCGTTGTAAACAGAGCGAGGACAATGTCTAAATTATTCATATATTGTAATTACTCAGTTCTTTTCAGTGATCTATTGTATTGGTAGCCGTTGCCGTACTAAAATGGCAAGGTCTCTAATTGGGGGGGGGGGGATATTCATATATTTGTGTTCAGCATTATTGATTTCTTTTGAAATTCAATGTTTTAAGGTCTGTGAACACGAATATATGAATATTGCCCTTCCCCCCCAATTATCGAGTTTGCTACGCCACTGGTCGTAGTGTCGTACGTACTGCACATGTCATGCGCATTTTGGCGGGCCTTTACATCTCAGCTAGCAAGTATTCCACGTGCGCTCACCGTGAGACGATTAAAACGAGCCTGACGATCGAATAGTATATGGCTTTCTGTATCGCAAAGTCTAACGGGAAAAATAAAGATTTACTCGCAATTACGCACTTGCCCCTCGTGACAAGGAGGGCTCCGCATTGGGAGTTATAGTTTTATTTCGGATTGGCAAGGTGGACCCTAATCAGTCCTCGAAATATATCTGGAAGGTATATATTGGTCATCATGACGGGTGGATTATTAAATTTACCGGTCACAGCAGTTGTTTTGTCGGTCATCTTTTATTTTTCTCATCTGCTCCTGCTTTATATGTAGTTGTATAGAGAGCTGCTGATTGATAGTGATACAACTACCAGAAAAATACAAGCAGAACTACGACGTTTCGAGTGAAGGCCCTTCAATTCGTCGGGAAGTTAAGGCCATTTTCCACTTTAACCGTATCGTACTGAAGCGTAGCGGGTTTTTTGGGGTCTTTTTTCTGAGCACTGGAGTGGACTCTTTTGTGTCGAAGTCATCACCGAGCAGACGGCGTGAAGCGCCGTGCGAGGGTACTAATTCCCCCCTGCTATTTACACCCGGCGAAACGAAAGCATTAGCGAAGTCTAAAGTTCATTAATAATCGCGGGCGTGGGTCACCAACGATGGGTGCATAGATATAGGAGATCTAGATTGCTAACGCATACCTAGCGCAGGCGGGGCCTACATGATAAATCCAAGATGGCGATACAACAGGACAAAAAGACTATAGATTCTATTACGAAAATCAGGATTTTTGCATTTTTTGCCGTCGCATTGTTTTGAAACTTATTCGGTCAAATTTTATGGTAAAGAGAAACTTACCGCGAAGATTTTGAGCATATATATGATTGAATTGGATGAAAACTCGCAAAATTATCCATCGATAAAAGTTCGTGTATAGTACTGATATAGTACAATATATGTAACTTGTACAGTTTTGCTTTAATTTTTGCTCACTATTTGCATAAAAAGCAAATTATAACAGACCATAGATGATAGACCCTCATCCAGTGCTCTCATCAGTTTACTTCTAAGAAGCAAGGGGGGGGGGGAACATAACAGTTCATTTTTCATAATTATGAGGACAGAGCAGATGATGATGAGAGATGCAAGTATAAAACACCATTCACAAGGCTAGATGTTAACATAGCACAGTATTTCTGGCAATAAAACGCTCCAACTGACCATTTCACACGAACTTTTATCGATGGATAATTTTGTGATTTTTCATCCAATTCAATCATATATATGCTCAAAATCTTCGTGGTAAGTTTCTCTTTACCATAACATTTGACCGAATAAGTTTCGAAACAATGCAACGGCAAAAAATGCAAAAATTCTGATTTTCGTAATAGAATCTAGGGTCTTTTTGACCTGTTGTACCGCCATCTTTGATTTATCATTTATCTAGCCTGCGCTAGGTATGCGTTAGCAATCTAGATCTCCTATATCTATGGATGGGTGGTCATCCTCACTGATCTCAAAAATATGGCGGACTGTCATGAATAGCGGACACTGATTGGTCCAATTTAAAGTTTACATTATAACGACTGCATGACGACAGCGAAATAGCAAACATTTCTTAATTTGATGATTGATAAATTTCTTGCAAATATATATTCATTTTTGCACGCATTTTTGAAGTTTTTCAAGTTTTTTAAAAAAATAGTTTTTAAAAAAGTTTTAAAAAGTTTTAAAAGAGTTTTGAAAAGCAAGAAAAGTTTAAAAAGTTAGATTTTTAAAAAATTAAAAAGTTAAAAAAATTAGGGTTAGGGGTTAGCGGTTAGGGGTTAGTGGTTAGGATTGGGGTTGGGATTAGGGTTAGTGTTAGGTGCCGCGAATTTATTATTATGATAAATTCAAAATTTGCCGCGAATTTATCATAATGATAAATTCGGATGTGTTTAAGAATTTACTCATATACCGTAGTAAATTCAAAGGTGGAGCTCATGCTGTTTTTAAAACGTATCTTGTCTTAGCATTTTGTAAAGCCATATATTTTTAGTTAATACAAACCGGTTCGTGATTGCTAGAAGTAGTAACTTCCCCCCCCCCTCCCCCTATAGCACAATGTTGGTTCAAACCATGACTAATGGACCACAAACCAACATTGTAAACGGGGAGGGGGGAAATTTGGGAAATTTTTAAAAAGTCAACGAATTAATTTCCATGATTGTAACATATATATGTTGGGAAATTGATAAATTTGTAATTAAAAGTGAAATTTTTACGCGATTTTTCACTTGTAAGAATATTCTCAAAAAAATATCGTGTTACCATGACAACTACTTTAGATACTTCATGTTCGGAAAATACAAAGGTTTTGTCAGCAAGGCGAGGGTTTCTGCATGCATGCATTTTCTAGTTAGTTGCGACAACTTATGACACCATTGAAATGGAAAACGGCCTTTACTGACGTTTAGTAAGGGCCTAGCTTCTTCACTCGAAACGTTGACGTTCTATCTGCTTGTATTTTTCGGTTAGTTGTATCCCTATCAATCAGCAGCGTTTTATTATCGTCTGTACCTAAACTGGCGCAGACCTTACTTTTACCCCGAGCCGACGGCGCGAAGCGCCGTGCGAGGGTACTAATTCCGCCCGGCTATTTACACCCGGGGAAAGGAACGCACTAGCGAAGTCTAAAGTTCATCAAATATCGTGGGCGCATGGCTCACCGTTCATGGGTGGTAATTCTCACTGATCTCAAAATATGTAGCGGACTGTCGTGAATAGTGAACACTGATTGGTCAAATATGAAATTTGCCTTATAAATAACGACTGCATTGACGACAGCGAAATAACAACGATTTCTTGCAAGTTGTATTTTTGTAAGATTTTGTAAATTTCAAAACCTTTCTGAAAGCCAAAGAACGTCTAAAAACGTCTAAAAGAATAGAGCAAAGTCGCCGACGTTAATGAAGGTAAGTTTGTTTTAAACATTGATGTATTGTTTGTTTAAATTATAATTGATATAATATTTATAACTGATAGTGGTGGGCGATACTGCGAATATCGAACTGATACTATCACTGCGTATATATTAAAGTGAAAAAAGACAGCATATAATTTCAGTGTAGTTTTATTAATTACCCTTTCTTTTGTATATTAAAGTATTCAGTAAATAAAGAGGAAAGCAAAGTTATTTTCATGCGAGAATTTGAAATCAGTTTATTTCAAACTCAATGTTTACCGATAATTCGATAAAAGGCCGTTTAGTTTTAAGAACATTTTAAAACGTTTTGCGAAGCGTCTGTGGTTGAATTTTACATTAAATTGAAGCTTATATTACGTATAACATACCTAGCATATATGTGTTTGGGAAATTGATAATTTTGTTATTAAAAGTGATATTTGAGGGGATTTTTCAATTTTAAAACTATTCTTAAAATTATCGTGTTACCATGACAACTACTTTCAATTCTTCATATTCAGAAAACATACAGTTTTGTCAGTAAGGCGAGGGTAATTTCTGCATGCATGTATGTTCTAGTATGTATATTAAGAAATTGCAAAGAGAATGTCAACTTTCTTTGCGAGATATTACCACTGCTCAATTTACACAAGAATATTTAGTACTTGGATAGTCTGGGTAGTAAAACAATTGTATGCCTTTGCATATCCAAGCCGCAAAGTTTTGTTGACAAGTGCTTTAATTAAAGAAATTCGAGTCCTGCTGCACTGTCTGACAGGAAGTCGGTTGGAGAACAAAGTCTGCTCGTGTACACAATTTTCAGTTTAGACTGCGTAGCAGTCGCTTTATTTTATTGAACGTTATGAGGATTTTTGAATAAATGGCGGGTTAGATAAAATGCATGGGCGAAGAAAAAAAGGGCAAGAAAAAACGGTCCAAGGAAAAATAAAGTGTCTGCAACTGTCCTTAAAAAATTTAATCCCCGTTCAGATTCTGAACGGAAAATACTGATTGGCTGTATCGCTGCGAAGCGCTGTATCGATTTTTTTTAAAAATTGGTAAAAGGCTAACCTTGAAAGAAAAGCAAGATTTGTGGTCATAGAGATATTCTCAACGGCTTTAACCGATATCTTTGAAGACTCATCTGCTCCTCAACATAATTACAATTTAAGAGACCATGATTTCTAGTTTTACTTACCAAAACCAAAAACAGAATACTTGAAAAATAGCATCGGGTATAGTGGAGCAAAACTCTGGAACAGCTTACAGTACCTTGCGAGTTAAGAAGCGCAAATTCATTAAATCTATTCAATTCGTACGTTGATTTCTGATACTAGCCTGCAGTCTTAAATCCATTATTATATCTTTATTTAACCATGATTTAACTAATTGTAAAATTTAATATGTAAGTGTAACTATTGTATATATTTTATCATCACGCCCCTCTTGGAAATCAGCAAATGCTGAAGGGGTTATAGCATCTTATCTACATCTTACCTACATCTTATCTACATCTTAACACAACGTCAAACTAAGCATTATATTATCTCGTCTGCCAAGCAACGTGAAACTTATTGCGACCCAAGAGATGTTACTTAAAGTCGAAATTACCGCAAACATTGCATCACTTTAGCCGAACTTAGCCGTTTTTGAGATTATTTGAAAAAGCTTCAAACATTTATTACATGCGCTAATCAAATTGCTTAGCGTTCATCCGTGAGCTGAAATTCATTGAACCGGCCCGTAAATATTAAACTCTCTACTTTCACACGTTGTGTGCGATGTATGTTTGTTTTCATAATTACGCTGCCACTTCACGTCATACTTGCGGCTCGTGTCTGATTGGTTGGTTGTTTTCGCCGTGGAATTTGGCCGGAAATTTCAAGTAAGTGGGCGGAATAAATTTTTATTAAGGACGGTTGCAGACGCTTTATTTTTCCTTCGCCCGTTTTTTCTCGCTCTTTTTTGTTCGCCCATTTTTTCTAACCCGCCATTTATTCATAAATCCTCAAAACCTTTAATAAAATAAAGCGACTGCTACGCAGGCTAGCAATTTTTAAAATAATGTAATTAATGAGTGTCCAGTAAGCGATAATATTCACCGGTTAATAAACTGAAAAATTTGCCGGTCATTGACCGCGGCCCGACCAACACTTCTTTTCGAAGCCAGACCCTAATGCTAGAGTGGGTTAAAGATTGTCGTTTACATTTAGATGAGACCTTTTGCGTTAAACATGATATTACAAATGTTATGTATTTGCTTGCTATGATAGCTATATCTGCACCTAACATTAACATTAAAGTCATAATTAACAGTTTTTGTTGTATATCTATATATTGTAAATATACGTTCTAACCCTTACAACTGTTCGTAACACCACTACTTCAACGATCAAGTCTCACAGGTGGTTACCTCACTCTTTCTGAAGCGTTGATGCCTCTGTAATACTGTCATTTACAAGTTCATGGGTGTTGGAGCCCTATTGTACTTGCGAGTTTGCTGCTACATTGACAAGTTCTGTTCTCTTGAACTGGGTATCACTTCCGGCTGCACTACTCCCATATTTGCAGTTTGCTCCCTGTCCTGTATTGTGCTTGGTTTAACTTCGGTTGCCGCAGCAATTGGTCAATATGTCTGCGCCAGATTACACCCGATGTTACTTCGATCTTATACATCAAAGGTCCGGTCCTTCCAATGACCTTTCCCGATCTCCACTTTAGATTTCCTCGGTAATCACGTCTCCCACTTCCAACTGCCGTGTTGCTCCGTTCTTCGCACTGGCCTAGCTACTTCCTGCTCTGCTCCTGTTGTTTGATCACCATCTTCCTGTTAAGATTAGGTTTTACTAAGTCTAAACGTGTCCATATTGACCTGCCAAGCATAAGTTGAGCTGGGTTCTCTCCCGTTGTTGAATGTGGGGTATTTCTATAGGTTATAAGAAATTTTGCTAAGTTCCCTTCCATTGGCTTCGAACTTTCTTCCATTGAACGCAGTGCCTGTTTGAATGTTTGCACTGATCTTCTTGCAAGCCTATTTGTAGCAGGGTGGTATGGGGCAGAGGTGATATGTTTTACTCCGTTAGATTTCATAAACGACCGGAATTCTTCTGAGACGAATTGGGGGGCATTATCGGAGACGAATTGTTCCGGGATTCTGAATCGTGCGAACACTTCAATGGTCTTAAGGTTGTCGTCTTCATAGGAATTACTTCTGGCCACTTGCTGTGTGCGTCGACCACCACCACGAATATAGTATCCTTAAAAGGACCAGCATAATCAATATGTACACGTTGCCATGGTGAAGTTGGCTCATTCCCATGGGTGTAAGGATACCTTGGACGGCATCTTCTGGTTCTGTAGGCAACCACTACAGGTTTTCGCTACGTTCTCCAACTGTTGGTTGAAGTTAGGCCACCACATATAGCTTCGTGATAGGGCCTTCATCTTGACGGTACCCAAATGACTATTATGTAGCTCTCGCAGAATTGTCTCTTGCAACTTGCTAGGGATAACCACTCTCATTTCACAAAGGATACAACCTTGATGGACTGTAAGTTCACTCTGTCGGTTATGGTAGAGCTTGTTTCCTTCGAAACGTGCTGACCAACCTTTAACTATCGAATCATAAACTCTGGCTAATATCGGATCACGCTGTGTCTCTTTAGCTACTGATTCAATGGTGACTGGGAGAATGTTTAACTAGGTTGCATGAAACACTTCACCTGCATCCACAGCTGTATCCTCTTTCTCCGTCATTGGCAGTGGTAGTCGTGATAGACCGTCTGCATAACACATAACATTGTACTCAATGTCATATTCTAATCCAGCTAGGAACAATGCATATCGTTGGAGTCTTGTGGCCGTCATTGTGGGTATTCCTTTTTCTGGATGGAAAGTGGATGTCAGAGGTTTATGGTCGGTGACTAGTGTAAACCGTCGCCCATACAAAATATATGTGAAACTTCTTGACCCCCACTGCATTTGATCTTCCCTTTTGGGTATAGCTCTCCCCCCGTGTAAGTTATAAGTGTGATTTGACTAAACTTAGCTCTGTATAACTGAAACAGGACAACTGAAACTGCAGAGCCTGTGTCTAGCTCCATTCTTAAAGGTGTTCCTTCAATTTTGGGGATGACCCATATTACGTTATCTTTGTTTCCCACTTTATTTATTTCTAAACTAGCCAGGTAATCATCGCTGTCACTATCATCATCATCAATGTGATTTACTGGGGGTTTGAATCTATGTGTTTCTTTGCTTCGTTTTTTACAAGCCCTCCGAATATGGCCGCTCTTCTTACAATAATGGCAAATTGCATTCTTGAAGGGGCATGATTTATGCTGATGATCACCATGACAACGGTAATACTTGGGGTCTGCAGGGGAAGGAAAAACGTCCCTTCTTTTCTTGACTTTCGTATTCCTGTTTTGCTCTTCAGGTTTATCTGACAAATTCACTGAATCTGATTCCTTATCTGTATATGGTTTGAATCTCTCCCCCTTGCATAGTCTCAACGTCCTTACATGATTGTTCAATAGCGATGCATTTAGCAGCGGCTGTGTCAAAGGTCAGCTCTTTGGGCTTCAGTTTTAAGAGTTCTAAATCATTTTTCTGTCATGAATACCAGACACTAACCGATCTCTAAGTCGCTCTAAACGCATCGTTTCGTTGAACTTACATTCTGTAGCTAAATGTTTTAAAACAGCTACGTATTCACTTACCGTCTCTCCGGCGTTTCTCGCTTGATTATCAAACTCGTATCTGGCTACTGATACTAATTTCTGTGGCTTTAACTATTTTTGAAGTCACTCAACTATCGCTTCGTACGTGATCGTGTCCTCATTCAGTAGATGTGGAGCAAATAAATCCTTTGTTAACTGGTAAGTTTCTGCAGGCATATTCGTCAACAGGACAGCTTTCTTTTGTTTAGCGTCAGTCACGCTATTTGCTACGAAAAAGAATTCCAGTTGTTCGGCAAACGCTTTGAGTCAGTGCCAACAACAAACTTTCCAACTTCTCCGATATTTCGAATCGATTCTGGTGCTTCAGCTGCCATCTTTCCACAGGACGGAAATCACTGTTATAATATCATGCTTTTTCTAACATGGTAATATTTCTTAATCCCGTCCTCGTCGCCAAATTGTTATGTATTTATTTGCTATAATAGCAATATTATATTTCGTGTATAAACTCAACAAGAAGCATTTGTCCGGACACATGGTCGATGCGTGCGCATCCTATAAAACATAGGTAACCCATAACAAGGAACGAAGTTTTGACATAAATATTGCCTCAAACAACATCTGTTCACCGAAGAGTATTGAATATCAATAATTTATATCATACGTCTTTCACAAAATTAATGGCAAACAGCAGTGCCATATTCTATAACAATAATACAAAAATCTGTAATAAACTGATCTGATTGGTGGAAGAAACAATGGGATCTAAAATCAACCAATCAGCTGAAAACTGTCGTCAAGTAGCGGCCACAGATTGCTTCAAATTACAAAACAAATATGACTACAAAAGTAAAAGTTGGGTTTAGGTTGAAAGTATGCCATTTATCTCTTTTTAAAATGGAAAATAGACAATTCCCATTATAGACTGATTTTAAAACTAGGCAAGGACATCAATGATACATGAATGATATTTTTTAAATATAACGTGTTTGAAATGCAAAAAACCAACATTCCTCGAGTCGTATGATTGTTATCACTATTATAAACAGGGTGACATACTGCTATAGTTTCAAATAATGAAATCTTGACTGATTTCTATCCAAGTATTTTACAAAATATTAAGACAACAAATTCCAGCTGCTATTATACCATTTTCGGCTTTTTTTACTCCTACGATGAATAATAGTACCATATAAATCAGTAGATAATCTTCAAAGGTTACTCATACCAACACATCTTTGAAGGTCGAATTATATAAACATGTTAATAACAACTTTTGTAAAGGAAAACTGTTATGAGCAAAATAACAAGTGTTTATCATGCCAGTTACTTTCTGAAAAACTTGAGCGCCATCTTGAAATTTTTTTTTTTTTTGGGGGGAGGTGAATGCCACTCGTTCGCGCACTGGCTAAGCTTTTGGCGGCTGGTTACACTTTTCTGGCTCAGTTCCATCTTCGTATAGTCTCTCCTCTGTGGTACAAATGACAACAAATTACGACAGCGTGTTACACTGAGGTTTCCAGTTCATTTCTCTCGATTGTCTATGGTGGAACTTACAGCTGCGTTTCGGTTAAATTACGTAAGTTTAGCTGAACGCCTTCCCTCTCTTGAGCTCCCCCATGCAGCTATTATAAGCTCTACTTCCAAACATACCTGAAATAAATAAGCCTTAACAGAAGATTTATGGTAACGCCCAACTAAAGCATAAAGTCATCTGTTGTTTATAGACATATTAAAATTAATGGTGGTAAATTAAATTATTTTTCAGATATTCTTCACAAACTTGATGAATCCACCAATCCATGTGATGATTTCTACCAGTACAGTTGTGGGGGTTTCTTAAAAAAGACTCATATACCTGACGATAAAACGCAAGTGACTTCATTTTCTGTTGCAGACAATTTTGTTCAATATGCCATGAGAGATTTATTACAAAATGAACAATTGATGTCAAATTACTCAAAGGTATTCTGTGTAAATTATCATTAATTTAAAGGCTGTCATTAAGGATCGTTAAGTCGTTCCAGATACTTACGAAATAACTAAATAAATAAAAAAGCAGCTTTTAGTTTTGTGTTTAAAGTCATTTTTTGAGTTAATTGGGACACTTTTGATTTTAACTTTTGGGACAATTTGGCAAATCAGTTGGTCGGGCATAAACTAAAATAATATTAAATCCCAATCACTAACTATTTCAATATGTTTAGGATTCAGCTGTCTATAAAACCTTTACTTACTACAAATCATGCATGAATGAGAGTGCTATTAAAAATGCTGGGATTAAACCAGTTCTTGATGTGATCGAACAACATGGCTCATGGAATATCACGAACAAGAACTGGAGTGAAGATTCTTGGATATTGGAAAAAATTCTTGCCAGATTATTTGTTGAACTTAATACTCCAGCCTTTCTAGGTTTGGATATAACATCATCTTACTTTAACACATCCGAAAGATTTATCACGGTAAGTTGAAGAATAGATATTTCCTAAAATAAACTATTCGCGCGGTTTTGGTAAGTACATTTTCTGGATTGTGTTCTCCCCTAGCCCGCGAGGCCAAATGCATTGGTAATCTTTAATAGACAATTCCCATTATAGACTAATTTTAAAATAGGCAAGGAGATGCAAATAAATCACCACAGCTAGAAAGAACATACTAAAATTAGTAAAATTGCAAAGTTTGGTTGCGCAATGTTCCAAAATAAGGAAAATATAGCCTTGCAAAGTTCGCAAATTTTGTATACTTTTGTATTGCGTGCGGAAATTGCTACCATTTTCGGCCCAAATGTGGTACCAATATCCCAACGCAATACAAAAGTATACAAAAGTTGCGAACTTTGCAAGGCTATATTTTCCGCATTTCACAACATTTCGCAACCAAACTTTGCAATTTTACTAATTTTAGTATGCCCTTTCTAGCTGTGGTGATCTATTTGCATCTCCTTGCCTAGTTTTAAAATTAGTCTATAATGGGAATTGTCTATTGAAATAGCTAAGTACTCGCACATTAGGGCCATTTATACGGAACAAAATAAGACGCGACTTACATAAGACGCGACTTAAGTAAGACGCGAGTTTGTCGTATAAAAGGTACAAAATTCTTATGTAAGACGAGTCTTGGATAAGACGCGTCTTACATAAGAACAGGTCTTTTAGCTGTTCTTATTTAAGTCGCGTCTTAAATAAGAAATTTTGGACAAAAAGTCTAACTACACATGCCAGAAACTTGAAACAACGTAAAATTATTAGGCTTGCATATTAAAACAAAAGCAACATTATAGCTATAGCAAATAAATAAGACCAAAGCCGTAGAGAACCATTTATGCGATAACTCCGCTTATTTAAGTCGCGTCTTATGTAAGTCTCGACTTATTTTGTTCCGTATAAATGGCCCTAATATGTAGAAAGCCATAGTATATGAGAGAGTACATGACATTTGCGAATTATTGTTTATTCCGGCTCAGCGTGCTCCGTTCGTCATTTCTGCTTCAACAAGGATCGGGTAAGCGCAAAATTGTCTGTCATAACCATAGCAATAACATCTAAAACCAAAGTCTTGGTTGTGCCACTGTCTACACAATGGTCTTTCTAGTAACCGGGCATTTAAGCGTATAGTGTCTTAATGTCGTCATCGTGAAGGCCTTTCAAAAACTTTTCGCATCTCTCTAGTATACGGGCATTGTCAGGGACGCCGGAACTGGGGAGGGGGCAGGAGGGGCAGCGGCCCCTCTTGCCTTTTGCTAGGGGGGCAAGGGCGGCAGAAGTGCACTTTTAGTTGTAAAATACTACCTGATAAATCACATTTCCAGTGATGCTTTTCCGAGCAAAATCATGAGATTCAGGTAATTTATAGGCCCAGAGAAAGTTAATTTACAAAAATAAGTGTGAATTTGGAAAAGAATAAAGTTAATTTACAAAAATGTTAGAAAATTTTTGGATTTTAGAAAATTTTTTTTGATAAATGGAGAAATTTTGACCCCTAAAATGTTACACTGACCGAAATTTTTTTGGCGGGGTTGGGGTTGTTAAATTTTGATAAATCAGGTAAATTTTGAACATTTGATCTATAATATAGAGGTGCCCCTTGCGTCTGCCCCCTTTGCCTTTTTATCGTTCCGGCGTCCATGGGCATTGTGTCTCTCCAGTATCCGATTTACGGGCAGCGTGTTTCCATGAATGCCGCGGGCTGGCCCACTTAGCGAGGAAGTCCAGTAAACGATATATCTCGCGGTGTAGTTATCCGGTGTGGTAATCTATTAAGTGAACTTGTTATACATTTACTGCTTAAACTAAACGTGATTGGCTGATTTGTGGTCACGTGGATTCCGATAAATGTAATGTATCTCGCCGGTCAACACTAAGTGAAAAATGTTGTCATCCTATTAACCGGCTGTGCTTCTACCGACTAGCTACGTACATAAATGCTCAAAATGTAGTTAAAATTGAGAAAGAAAATTGAGAAGTTTTCCAGTTTATGAATTGAATACAGTATCTATAACACAGAAGAAAACACTTATTAACAGATAATAGGAATTGCGGCTAAAGCACTTTTTAGCAGGTTATTTTATAGTTAAAATAATTTAAAATAATCCCTCGATCTCGTCTCGGGAAATTAAACTTTGAAACTCTAGCACGGTAAAACCAGGTGCCCACGGGCTCGTTAATTATATCGTCTGTTCAAGCATTATGAACTTTTTGTGTGATTGGTTGACCTGCATGTTCTGCTTCTTCAATACCATATAGATCAGTGGGGGACGTTCTGGTAATAATAGCATAGAACTGGATAAAGAACAGTCTCGTTCAAGAGTCCCGCGCTTAAAAGAAAAGGTAGGTTCATGTTATGTTTGAAGAGCTAATGATTGTTAATTAACAAGGTGTTGTTAGCACATAGTGCAGCTTATTATAATTACCAAAATTAATAGGCTTTTAAATATCAATCTGCAACATTTTCCAAAGTAACAGTCTAGTCTGGACCTATTTTCGATTTATTTATCTATTGTTCTCAAATTTTAAAATTATTTTAGAGGTTGTGCATTATTGCCCAATAATGTTGGATCTCTCGTTAAAAATAGGCACGCTGTGGCCTATGAGCGTCTACAGAGGGTGGGAAAGGGTATTTTTGTGAGCCGTGAATGGTCAATTTTGCTGGCGGGAAATGTGAAATGCTTGATTTTAATGTCGTGAAATATGATTTGTTCTACAGCCGTGAGGCGTGATTGTTGATAAAAATGCTCCGTGAAATGAGAATTAAGGATGCCTGTTTCGTGAACTGTGATTATTATAGTGATTATTATAGTAAACTGATAAACATAATACGCGATAATCAAATTAAAATAATCTCACTCGATTGCACAAGAGTAAAAACTCCGAAGGCCTTTCGCGTGGTTCCTGACGCTGAGGACAAGCTTCCTGACACTGACGACAAGGTTCCTGACGCTGAGGAGAAGGTTCCTGGCGCTGAGGACAAGGTTCCTGGCGCTGAGAACAAGGTTCCTGGCGCTGAGGACAAGGTTCCTGGCGCTGAGGACAAGGTTGCTGGCGCTGATGACAAGGTTCCTGGCGCTGAGGACAAAGTTCCTGCCGCTGAGAAGAAAGTTCCTGACGCTCAGCACAAGGTCCCTGGCGCTGAGAACAAGGTTCCTGGCGCCGAGGACAAGGTTCCTGGCGCTGAGGACAAGGTTGCTGGCGCTGAGGACAAGGTTCCCGGCGCTGAGGACAAGGTTCTCGGCGGTGAGGACAAAGTTCCTGGCGCTAAGGACAAGGTTTCGAACGCTGAGGGCAAGGTAAGGTTCCTGGCGATGAGGACAAGATTCATGGTGCTGAAGACAAGGTTCCTGGCGCTGAGGACAATGTTCCTGGCGCTGAGAAGAAGGCACAAGGTTCCTGGCGCTGAGAAGGAGATCCCTGACGCTCAGCACAAGCTTCCTGGGGCTGAGGACAAGGTTCCTGGCGCTGAGGACAAGTTTCTTGATGCTGAGAACAAGGTTCCTGGCGCTGAGGAGAAGGTTCCTGACACTGAGGACAAGATTCATGGTGCTGAGGACAAAGTTCCTGGCGCTGAGAACAAGGTTCTTGGCGCTGAGCACAAGGTTCTCGCCGGTGAGGACAAAGTTCCTGGCCCTGAGAACAAGGTTTCCGATGCTGAGGACAAAGTTCCTGCCGCTGAGGAGAAGGTTCCTGACGCTCAGCACAAGGTTCCTGGCGCTGAGGGCAAGGTACCTGGCCCTGAGGACAAGATTCATGGTGCTGAGGACAAGGTTCCTGGCGCTGAGAAGAAGGTTGCTGACGCTCAGCACAAGCTTCCTGGCGCTGAGGACAAGGTTCCTGGCGTTGAGGACAAGGTTCCTGGCGCTCAGCCCAAGGTTCCTGGCGCTGAGGACAAGGTTCCTGGCGCTGAGAAGAAGGTTCCTGACACTCAGCACAAGCTTCCTGGCGCTGAGGATAAGGTTCCTGGCGCTAAGGACAAGGTTCCTGGCGCTGAGGCCAAGGTTGCTGGCGCTGAGAAGGAGGTTCCTGACGCTCAGTACAAGGTTCCTGGGGCTGACGACAAGGTTCCTGGCGCTGTGGACAAGGTTCCTGGCACTGAGGACAAGGTTCCTGGCGCTGAGTACAAGCTTCCAGGCGCTGAGAACAAGGTTCCTGGCGATGAGAACAATGATCCTGGAGCTGAGGACAAGGTTCCTGGCGCTGAATACAAGGTTCCAGGTGCTGTGGACAAGGTTCCTGGCGCTGAGGAAAAGGTTCCTGGCGGTGAGGACAAGCTTCCCGACGCTGAGAAGAAGGTTTCTGGCGCTTAGAACAAGGTTCCTGGCGCTGAAGGCACGGTTGCTGGCGCTGAAGGCACGGTTGCTGGCGCTGTGGACTAGGTTCCTGGCGCTGTGGACAAAGTTCTTGGCGCTGAGTACAAGGTTCCTGCCGCTGAGGAAAAGGTTCCCGGCGCTGAGGACTAGTTTGCTGGCGCTGAGGACAAGGTTTCTGGCGCTGAGGACAAGGTTCCTGGCGCTGAGAACAATGATCCTGGCGCTGAGGACAAGATTCCTGGCGCTGAGTACAAGGTTCCTTGCGCTGAGGAAAAGGTTCCTGGCGCTGAGGACAAGGTTCCTGGCGCTGAGGAGAAGGTTCCTGGCGCTGAGGACAAGGTTGCTGGCGCTGAGGACAAGGTTCCTGGTGCTGACGACAAGGTTCCTGGCGCTGAGGACAATGATCCTGGCACTGAGGACAAGGTTCCTGGCGCTGAAGGAACGGTTCATGGCGCTGAGGACAAGGTTCCTGGCGCTGTGGACAAGGTTCGTGACGCTGAATACAAGGTTCCTGGCGCTGACGACAATGTTCCTGGCGCTGTGGACAAGTTTCTTGGTGCTGTGGACAAGGTAATTTCTGGCGCTGAGGACAAGGTTCCTGGCGCTGAGAACAAGGTTCCTGGCGATGAGGACAAGGTACCTGGCGCTCAGGACAAGGTTCTCGGCGCTGGGGACAAGGTTTCTGACGCTGAGACCAAGGTTGCGGGGGCTGCGGACAAGGTTCCTGGCGCTGAGGACAAGGTTCTCGGCGGTGAGGACAAACTTCCTGGCGCTAAGGACAATGTTTCGAACGCTGAGGGGAAGGTTCCTGGCGATGAGAACAAGATTCATGGTGCTGAGGACAAGGTTCCTGGCGCTGAGGACAAGGTTTCTGGTGCTGAGAAGGAGATTCCTGACGCTCAGCACAAGGTTCCTGGCGCTGAGGACAAGGTTGCTTGCGCTGAGGACAAGGTTCCTGTTGCTGAGGACAAGGTTCATGGCGCTGAGGACAATGATCCTGGCACTGGGGACAAGGTTCCTGGCGCTAAAGGCACGGTTCCTGGCGCTGTGGACAAGGTTCCTGGCGCTGTGGACAATTCTTGGCGCTGAGTACAAGGTTCCTGGCGCTTTGGAAAAGGTTCCTGCCGCTGAGGACAAGTTTCTTGGTGCTGTGGACAAGGTAATTCCTGGCGCTGAGGACAAGGTTCCTTGCGCTGAGAACAAGGTTCCTGGCGATGAGGACAATGATCCTGGCGGTGAGGACAAGGTTCCTGGCGCTGTGGTCGAGGTTCCTGGCGCTGAGTACAAGGTTCCTGTCCCTGAGGAAATGGTTCCTGGCGCTGAGGACAAGGTTCCTGGCGCAGAGGACAAGATTCCTGGCGCTGAGGACAAGGTTCCTGGTGCTGAGGACAAGGTTGCAGGCGCTGAGGACAAGGTTCCTGGCGCTGCGGAGAAGGTTCCTGGCGCTAACGACAAGGTTCCCGGCGCTGAGGACAAGGTTGCTGGCCCTGAGGAGAAGATTCATGGTGCTGAGGATAAGGTTGCTGTCGCTGAGGGCAAGGTTCCTGACGCTGAGAACAAGGTTCCTGGCGCTGAGGACAATGATCCTGGCGCTGAGGACAAGGTTGCTGGCGCTGAGGACAAGGTTGCTGGTGCTGAAGGCACGGTTCTTGGCGCTGTGGACAAGGTTGCTGGCGCTGTGGTCGAGGTTCCTGGCGCTGAGTACAATGTTCGTGGCGCTGAGGAAATGTTCCTGGCGCTGAGGACAAGGTTCCTGGCGCAGAGGACAAGATTCCTGGCGCTGTGGACAAGGTTCCTGGTGCTGAGGACAAGGCTCCTGGCGCTGAAGACAATGATCCTGGTGCTGAGGACAAGGTTCCTGGCGCTGAAGGCACGGATCCTGGCGCTGTGGACAAGGTTGCTGGCGCTGTGGACAAGGTACCTGGCGCTGAGTACAAGGTTCCTGGCGCTGAGGAAAAGGTTCCTGGCGCTGAGGACAAGGTTTCTGGCGCTGACGACAATGTTCATGGCGCTGAGGACAAGTTTCTTGGTGCTGTGGAGAAGGTATTTCCTGGCGCTGAGGACAAGGTTCCGGGCGCTGAGAACAAGGTTCCTGGCGATGAAGAGAATGATCCTGGCGCTGAGGAGAAGGTTCCTGGCGCTGAAGACAATGTTCCTCGCGCTGTGGGCAAGGTTCCTGGCGCTGATGAAAAGGTTGCTGGCGGTGAGGACAAGGTTCCAGGGGCTGAGGACAAGCTTCCTGGCGCTGAGAACAAGGTTCCTGGCGCTAGCGAGAAGGTTCCCGGCGCTGAGAACAAAGTTGCTGGCCCTGAGGAGAAGGTTCATGGTGCTCAGGACAAAATTTCCTGTCGCTGAGGACAAGGTTCCTGACGGTGAGAACAAGGTTCCTGGCGCTGAGGACAAGGTTCCTGGCGCTGAGGACAAGGTTCCTGGTGCTGAGGACAAGGTTCCTTGCGCTGAGGACAAAATTCGTGACGCTCGGCACAAGGTTCCTGGCGCTGAGGACAAGATTCGTGGTGCTTAGGACGCGGGTCATGGCGCTCAAGACAGGGTTTTTGGCGCTGACGACAAGATTCCTGCGCTGAGGAAATGTTTCTTGGTGCTGTGGACAAGGTATTTCCTGGCGCTGAGGACAAGGTTCCTGGCGCTGAGAACAAGGTTCCTGGCGATGAGGACAATGATTCTGGCGCTGAGGACAAGGTTCCTGGCGCTGAGGACAAGGTTCCTGGTGCTGAGGACAATGTTCCTTGCGCTGAGGACAAGGTTCCTGACGCTCAGCACAAGGTTGCTGGCGCTGAGGACAAGATTCATGGTGCTTAGGACAAGTGTCATCGCGTCGAGGACAAGGTTCTTGGCGCTGAGGACAAGGTTCCTGGCGCTAAGAACAACGTTCCTGGGGCTGAGGACAATGTTCCTGTGGCTGATCGAAGACAAGTTTCCTGGCGCTAAGGACAAGGTTGTTGGCGGTGTGGACAAGGTTCCTGGCGCTGAGTACAAGGTTTCTGGGCCTGAGGAAAAGGTTCCTGGCTCCGAGGTCCTGGTTCCTGACGCTCAGCACAATGTTCCTGACGCTGAGGGCAAGGTTCCTGGCACTGAAGGCAAGGTTCCTGTCGCTGAGGACGAGGTTTCTGGCGCTGCGGACAAGGTTTCTCGCGCTGAGGGCAAAGTTTCTGACGCTCAGCAGAAAGTTCTTGGCGCTGAAGGCAATGTTCCTTATTGGCTGGATTTGTACGAAAACTACGAGTCTAAATACCTGCCAAGGTAAGGCTTTTTCATGCATATAAATGGGACGGATTAATGATTGCCAATGCTTGCTTTTGAACTCTTTCCAGATTGTTGCTTAACGCTTGAAGGACATTTGGAAAAACCACTGAAGCATACTCTATCACTGATCTCGTAACAGCACAATATACAGTTACAATATCCACACTGCCGTCTAGTATCTTCTTCAACTTCCTCACTGCGTATAATCTCCTATTCGCTTTCTTTATTATTACGGTCACAATGCAAGGACCATGTTAGGTTACTAGACAAGTAAACTCCAAGTAGCTCGAGCACTGTTACTACTTTGATCTGGGTACCATCAGTAACAATAGGTTGCCATGCAGTGGCGTTACTGCCAGTGCACTGGAGGAAGTCGATAGTCATATCTTAACATTTCTCTGGATTTAATTATTTAATTTCATTTTATTTTGCCAAGAATATTATTGGATTTCAGATACAGTAAATTTTATCGGCTTCCATTGTTGTCACAGAAATTCCTCTGGGATTTCAGCCTTTTTCCACAGGTATATTACATACTGTATGTCCTCTGCTGATAGTGATACAAAGTCAGAACTGAGGCTATGGAAGAACTCATTAATTCTCTCGCACAATTTCTCAGTCTTGTTTTCAGTGTCTCCGTCAATAAGATGTTTAAACCACTGTCCTTTTCTTTCGGTCAAACCAGAGAGATTTTGTACTGTTTTCCACAACTTACTTGCATTAGTATCCTTTAGATTTTAACTTTAATATCATAGAATAATTTCTTAGCATGTTTAATTGCATATTGAAATTTGTTTCTCCTCAGTTTGAATGATGGAGTATGCTTGCCATGTTGAGCTGGCACTTTTGTCTTCTCTTAATTCAGGGCCCATTCAGAGGCATGCACCTTAACATCAGATCTCATAGCTGGGACACACTCCACAGAGCAATCACAATATGGTGAATACAGTACACTGCATACTATTGAAAGAAAAAAAACACATAAGGACAAAGCTTATCGAGAAGTGAGCAATCGTCCAACCCTTGGTTTACTTTGTGGACCCTGCACGCATGCAAAATACATTGGAATATAAAAGGGTGGGGCATTTTCTATTGATTTTAAAGATGCATGTGGTCAATGGGGTAATTGCGTGACAACTACATTATGATTCTGGGACTTTCTTGTAACCGAGTTCTTGAATATGAGATAGATGCTGGCTTAAAGTGACTGCAGTTTTTATCATGCCATGTGTTGGTCAAAACCACTTTCACAAAGATACCTTCCAAAACCAACCATATCTACACAAATGGTTGCAATTGCAGGAAAGAACGAGTGTGTTTCCTAGCAAGCAGATGATTACGCTGTTTTTGAACATGGGACAATTGCACAAAAAGGCAATTGCTTTATTCACTAATTCCAGCTGGAAATTTTCGAATTTCCTTCAAGTGGAAACACCGTGGTAAAATCTGACATAGATCTCAACTGATCCCAATTTCAACTGTTTACAAATTATACTAACACTAATTCTACGTCCAAATCACACAGACAAACGTTTCATAGGCGGGAGACTTGCAATGGGCATGTATTTCAAGACATCATTGATGGCAGATGAATTCAAGTATTACTTTACCTCCGTGGTTATGTGCAAATATCAGTGGTTATGTGCAAATAAATTATTCTTGAATGTTGAAAAGTCCATATTTCACCCTGCGCTATATATATATATATATATATATATATATATATATATATATATATATATATATATATATATATATATATATATATATATATCGGAATATATAATGCTGGTTTAAGCACATATTTCAGTTGCTCCTTCATAAAAGTTTTCTTTTAAACGTTTCCTTTGGCATCTGATATTGGTCGCGATATAGACAGTTCAAAATCACTTCTAACGGATAATACATTGACCTAAAATGAGCAATTGCTTTGAATTACAAAAGAACAAACTCATCTGGAATGGCGACTTAAGCGAATTAAAGTCCTACGTCGCAGAAAAGTTAAACATAAATGGTAAATGGAAATCACCGTCAGGTGGACGCTGGTTATTTACTAGCGATGCTTTGTCTATAACCTGGTATTGTAAAAGCAAAACTGTCTTATTTCAAGGTCCTCGTGGCAGCGAAGTGGCTGACTCTTTGAAGAAAAATATCGATGCATCGCGAATTGCAATAGTGAAAGATGCCGAGCTAATCATTGCTACCCCTGCTGTTTCCGAAAGACGGAATGAATCTATCGATAATCAGTGTAGTCTCAGTATTAACAATTCTAACTCGAACATGTTTGACAGATCTAGTAATACAACAACAACTATCAACCGAAGCGACTCGGATGCTAGCGAAGGAAAAGCAAATGAGAAAGAAATGTGTTCACACAAGCAGAACGAAGGCGATTATATAATGAATTGCAAAGACTGTAGTAAATTATCTGTAGAAGTAGCAGAAATTAAATTGGGCTTGGCATTATTATTCCTAAAAGTTAATACTGCTGAAGCTCCCGCTACATGTGAATGCAATCGGCTACGAAACGAAAATCAGCTATTGAAACAAGAAATTAAATTACTCAAGGAAACACTGCACGGCATGGAATTGTCAAAATTGCCAATTAACATCGCTATCGATAATTTGAATAATCAACCAACCATCACTGACAATGGCTCTGTTATACTAATTGATATAGAAGAATCTGAAGTTAACGTAAACACTAATATGAATAATTTACCATCTGCGACATACAAAGAGAAACAATATAATACCCGAGGGCCAGTTGTTAATGACTCTCTTATGAAATATAGAAATCCCAATTAACCAGTCGTCCAAGACTCCCTGACCTCATTCGACCATCTCCTAAAAGAAAAGGCAGCCTTAAACGCCAACATGCATCGTCATAAGAGGAATCAAGTGCATAATTCTCCAACTAACAGAACGCATTTCTCGAAACCTAATTACCGGCGCAATCAGGCC